TCACTGACCTCATGGTTGATGAGGTCCCAGCAGATGATCATGACAATGGCTGCAGAGAGTCAATGGTGGTGCTAGCTTAGCATGAGCCCAGAGCTGGAAGTAAGTGGGATGCAATCAGAAGAGCATACTGGAGGAGGGGGAAATGGGTGGAAAAGCTCACTGTTTATTAATTTGTAATTCCCTAATTATGTTGAGCATCTTTTCATTTACTTATTTGCCATCTGTACATGTTCTTTGGTAAGCTGTCCAGATTCTTTTACCTAATTAATATTGAGTTTTTTGGTTCTTTATTGTTGAGTATTAAGTGTTTGTATTTTTGAATAACATTTACTAGCTATATGATTTAGAAATATTTCTTTTTCCCACTTTGTGATTTGTCTTCTCATTTTCTTGACAGGAGTTTTGCAGTACAGAAGTATGTAATTTTGACTCACTAATTTAGTCAAGCTTATAAATTCTTTCTTTTATGTATCTAAAAAATTGTTGCCATGCTCAAGGTCATTTAGGTTTTCTCCTATGTTATCTTCTAGGAGTTTTATTGTTTTATGTTTTACACTTAGGTCGATGGTTAATTTTGTGTAGGGTATAAGGTCTGTGTCTTGATTCTTTTTTTTTTTTTTTTTTTTTTTTTTGCATGTGTAGGTTCAGTCGTTCCAATACCATTTGCTGGAAGACAATCTTTGCTCCATAGTATTTTGTATTATCCAAAATATTATCTTTGCTTCTTTGTCAGAGATTAGTTGATTTTGTTTACGTGAGTCTATTCTGTGCTCTCTATTCTGTCCCATTGATTTACTTGTTTATTCTTTTGCCGATGCCACATTGTCTTGGTCATTGTAGCTCGATAGTAAGTCTTCAAGTAAGGTAGTGTAAGTTCTCTGACTTTGTTCTTTTTCAATATTATGTTGAATAATCTGGGTCTCTTGCTTTACCATATAGACTTTAGATTCATTTTGTCAATATCCACAAATTAACTTAAGATTTTGATTGACATTGCATTGTAATCAAGGATGGAAGAAGTGACATCTTAAAAATTTTGAGTCTTCCTACCCATGAACAAGAATTATCTCTCCATTTATTCCTTTATTCATAAGATTTCTTTTATCAAGATTTTATGGTTTTCTTCATATAGATCTTACATATATTTTGTCAGATTTGTGCAAGTATTTTATTTTTGGGGTGCTAGTGTAAATGGTATTGCATTTTTAATTTCAAATTCTACTTATTCATTGCTGGTATATAAAAAAGCAGTTGACTTTTGTATATTAACCTTATACCCTGCAACCTTGCAACTAATCATTTATTAGTCGCAGATTTTTGGTTGATTTTTTTTTTTTTTGGATTTTCTACATAAACGATCTTGCCATTTTTGAATAATGACAGTTTTATTTCCTCCTTCCTAATCAGTGTACCTTTCATTTCCTTTTCTTGTCCTATCACATTGCTAGGACTTTCAGTACAATGTGTAATGAAAGTGGTGAAAGAGGATATCTTTTCCTTGTTCCTAATCTTGGTGGGAAAGCTTCCAGTTTTTCTTCTTAGTAGAATTTTCTTCATCTTTCTTCTGCCTGGGATTTGCTTTCATCAAATTTGGAAAAATATGGGGCCATTATTTGAAATCTTTCTCTCCTGTCCTTCAGGGACCTACTTACATAAAGATTAGGCCACTAAATGTTTCCCACAGTGTGTTGATACTCTGTTCATTTTTTTTCAGTTTTTTTTTTTTAGGTCGGTATTTTATTTTGGGTAGCTTCTATTAGTATATTTCAAGTTCACCAATCTTTTCTTCTGCAGTGTTTGGTCTGCTGTTAATCCTGTAATATTTCCCATCACAGACATTGTTTTTTTCCCCTGTGGAAATTTGATATAGGTCTTTTTATAGTCATTTCTCTGTTAATGCTAATGTTTTCTTCTCCCTTACTGAAACACATGGTGTAAGGTTTTGGTTACATTTTTAATATCCTTACCTACTTGTTGTAGCATCTGTATCATTATTAGCTTAGTTTTCATTGACTTATTTCTTTCTTTTTTTGGTTGTGGTTTACAGCTTATTTGCATGAATTTTAAACAACAAGGAATGTTTACATATACTTCTGAATAGATTTTGTTCAGTTCAGGGAAATGAAATGTATAATATATATTTTATGAAAATTGAATACTTCAGTTAAAATGTGTCCTTCAATTATATAGAAAGCACATTTTTTCATGCAATTTTATTCTCTTGGTACAAAGAGATACATAGACTTTGAAGGCATATATAATAAACGTCAAAATACCATTTTACCAAAGTTTTTAGAAAATTAAACAAGTTATCTTACCTTTATGGGCTTTGATTGTCTCATATGTTAAATTAAGACTCAAATATGTACCTCACAGAACACTTACAAACATTAAATTAGATATGACTCTAAGGAACCTAATGTGATGTATAAAGCACTGACTATAATTTAAAAAATGTCCCTTTGGTAGATGTCTTTCTGATGTGTGTTGATTCTATACAAAAGAGACAATACCCCTACACCTAAATATAAGTTGGTGATATATCCAAATAATAACTTCATAACATTTTAGTAAAATATCAGTAAGGCTATCATTATTAAATCATTCATTATACTCTCCAATCCCATGAACCTAAGATTTTGAGTTAATACATATGGACTCACTTAAAGTGCAAAAATTTAGTGATCGAGATGCCTCATTTCTACAATGTCAAGCAATTAGATATTTATTAATCCAATTTTTAGACTACACATTTTTTTCATCTGAATGCTTAGCATCATACAGACACAATTAGAGGAGAATACAGATATTCATAGAGCAATTTAGAGTATAATATATTTTCATATAAAATAGGTTAAAATGGGATAGTTGCAGGTTGAAAGTGAGAGATTTCATAATGTAGAAGATTGCTTTAGTAGTTAATTTACTTCACATAATAAGGTTGGATGTTAAAAGACAAAATTTAAATAACTTTGAAGATAAAACTCTTAGAGACATGAAATAAGTAATATGAATGGCCTTGATATATGATATATAAAAGTGACTTATAAAAATTGTGATTTATATACATATATCCAAACTTATTTTATTTAGCCAAACTTAACCTAATAACAAATTATTTCAAGTAATGAAATCCAAGAAGAGTAAAGACTTGTAATTGAGTTAAAAAACATACAATTCATTATAGTGCAAAGGTTTAACTTGTCTAATGGAACTACAATAATTAAATGCTGTTCTTGGTCAGAAACATCTGAAAAAAATGTGTACATTTTAGAAATGGGTTGGCACATTTCATTAGCTTCTGGCTACATCATTGTAGGTAGTTTTTGACTAATTTTCTTTTTATCACATAATTTTCTTCTTTAATTACCAAGAACCTGCCTAATGTTTTTCCTAATGAAGAGTGTTATTTGGCTCACTTCAGAACTGTGCCACTTCTGAGAAGATTACATTAAACTCAGATAGTGTGAATTTGGAAAGTCATTTTGATTTTAGGAACACCCTATTTAAAGCAACATTGTCAGTGATGGGGATTAAAGAGTACACTTATTAGGATGAGCACTGACTAACATATGGAATTGTTAAATCACTCTATTGTACACCTGAAACTAAAAAATAGTGTATTACATATATATCAAGGATGTATTTAGGGGAAGCCTTGCCCAATCATAGGCATATGTATGTTTAGCCTTAATAGATATCGTCCAGCAAGTTTCCAGAAGGAAAAAAAAAAAAAGCGGAATTCACTTTGGAAAATTTCCCATTTCTGTTAAAGTTGAACATATTCAATCATTGTGACCTAAGAAATCTACACGTGGATTCAAATATGCACCAGAAGACAGGCAAAGAGTATTTATGGAAACATTGTCCAAATCAGCTAAACTATAGAGAATACAAATGTCTTCATTAGAAGGGTAAATACAGTGGGTATATTTATACTGGAATACTATGCAACAATGAAAAAATGCTACACACAAAATCATGAGCGGGTCTCACAGGTGCAATGTTAACTGAAAGAAACTGGACACAAGATTAAACACTTTATGGTTCCATTTATAGGATCCTCAAAAGCAGCAAACTAATCTTAGATGATAAAAGGCAGAATAAATAGTGGTTATTTCAAGAGATAGCAGCTAGATTGTAGGTTCTGAATGGTGATTACATTAAGCTGTACATTTAAGAAGTGTGTACTTTATGCATGCTATATTTCAATAAATATGTTTAAAACTAATATGCAGCTGTTGGAAAGAGTTTCCATCTTTGGGGTGAGAAAAATGGATCAGAAAAGAAGAGAGTGTGTGTGGGGGGTGCGAATTCCGTTCATTTATTCCGTCTTTGTCACTCATTCTCTCTCCTAAATTCAGTGTTACAGTGCCAAGGCCTTGACAGCTCAGCCCCTGAATCCTGAGGATTGCAAACTGGGACTCCTCCCGCTTGGAGGCGGGTAAGGATGTAACTATGTAGGGGCGCAGAGTGAGCGAGAGAGGACTCAGATCCCCTCCAATTCCGCACATTACGGCAGGCACTGCAGAAACAAGAGCAAAACTGTGCAAAGAGCAAAGTGCCTGCCGCCCCCAGGGTTTCACCTGCGGATCGCTGGGCAAGGACAAGGTGACTTCTTCCCCTCCCCGCGAACTGTCCGGCAGGTACTTTTTTTAATTCCGGAGGGAAAAAATCTTTGTTCACAAAAGGACTGGTTCCTCTGTGAAAGGGAACAAACCGTTGAAGACTGGAACGAAGACGCAATTGCTCTGTCCTTTTTTTTTTTTTAATTCGGAGCCAGCGGAAGCCATGTGCCCCTTCCAGAAGTGAAGCCCCGAAGCGTGGGCAGACTTCTCCCCAAGGCCCGATCCTCTTCGGGACGCGGCAGCGTGACTCGCTCTCCCCAGACGGTAAACTTGTCCCCGTGAGAGGGAAACTGATTAAGGCCAAGTGGGTGTTGCACTTTTCAGGACACCTGGGCGCATGAAAACCCAGCGGACTGTCCTGGAAAGGAGAACATGCCCCCCAAGTCTCTCTGCAACCTCTCCCAGACCGCGGGCGCGAATCAGAGCGGCTTCGTTCCCGGGGTGTCCGAGGGGGACTTGCTGGCCGCCGCCGACGGGACGAGCGCCAAGTTCGCGATCCGCTGTGCGATCCCGTCCCTCTACCTGCTCATCATCGCGGTGGGCTTGCTAGGCAACATCATGCTGGTGAGGATCTTCATGAGCAACAGCGCCATGAGGAGCGCCCCCAACATCTTCATCTCTAACCTGGCCGCCGGGGACTTGATGCTGCTGCTCACCTGCGTCCCGGTGGATGCCTCGCGCTACTTCTTTGACGAGTGGATGTTCGGGAAGGTGGGCTGCAAACTGATCCCGGTCATCCAGCTCACCTCGGTGGGGGTTTCCGTGTTCACTCTCACCGCCCTCAGCGCCGACAGGTAAGGGCGCAGGTAGTGGTGGCCTGGAAAAGCGGCGCAGAGGGGCAGGGGTGCCCCTGGTGGGGGGGGGGGGGGCGGGGAGAGGGAGAAAGGAAAGCCCGCAGGTGGGCAGGGAGAGAGGGAGAGAGAGTGTATCTGGGAACTGGAGTGAAAGGAGTTAAAAACGGACTGAGTTGTGAAGCTTGAAAAAATATATAAGAAAAATATTCCTTTAAAAATAATTAACATTGTGTTAGTTTGAAAGTAGTTCTAAAATTGCGTAGCCAATCTCCCTCCTCCCCTGCACACACTCTGAAAATCTTTACTGTCTATTTCATAGAAAAGCTATAGAATAATTGGGCAACAGGGCACCTATCCCGTAGGAGCTTTGCGTCTGTGCTAAAATCTTACAAGTGCACTTTCCTTGTTCAGTCAATAGGTAAGAATGTCTAACTTAATATTAGGAAAGTGTTTGATGTTGAGTTTTTTTTTTTTTTCAAATATGGGGAAACATCGTTTATACTTATTAACCAAATTCTGTTATTTATTCCAAGTCAAACAACTACAATAGTAAATGCTCTTCAGACAGTTGACTACACATTCTTGCTTTAATGCCTCAAGTTAAGTGATCCCCCTCCCCTGCAAACAGGTAGGTACTGAATTTTAGTATCTTAAAATGGTGGTGTAAAAATACAAATTTGATATCAAACCTGCTTTTCACGTATTTTAAAGGTGAGACAGGTCTAGTATTTTACCTTGCAGACCAACTAAGTCCAACCATGTCATTTTTAGGTGTTGAGGTAAGATATTGAGGCCCAGGGAAAGTGAATCCCGCTGGCAGGGCAGGCTGGAGAATCCAGGACTGCTGACTGCTGGTCCATGCCTCTCCCTCAGTCTCTCTATCATCATGCTTTCCCGCATTTAAGCAGGAGAAATGTCTGCATGGGGGTGCAGACAAAATGTCCTATTAGGCAACTGTGCATGGAGCCCTGGTTTAATTCTCTTCGGGATGGGGTGTTGACTTAAGCTATTTAGATAAACAATCGAACTTGGATGATTAAGGTGGTGGATGCACTCCTCTTCTTCAATTTACATGTTATGAGTGGAAAATGACTCCATCTAAGTGTCCCGGTATTTGCATTAATACCTTTCCATCACTCTGGCATTGAAGAGTTAATCTTTGTTGAAGGAAAGACAACAATCACTGGCGAGTTGAGAGCTTCTGTCTTTTTAAACCAAATATTATTGACTTTTTAGTTTGTGTCATATTCTTTCTAAAACCACATTCCTATAAAAATGGGTGCCTTTGGGTAAATTATATGTACCTCATTTTGCTAAGATGACACTATTTCTATTACCTTTTATACAATTTTTTGAACCCTGTAATTAAAATATGACTTTTTAGTTTAGCTGCCCCTCTTTATAGGACCCATTTTAATTAGAAAGTTAAAAGAATACTACTTAATAATTAGAATAAAACCTATTGAATAGCTATGAATACAATAGTTAACGTTACTATCATTGTGCTTTGATTTCTGCTAGCAGGAAGATCCAGGGCTAGAGTTTATTTTATGCCATTTTTCTCAATCTATTGTCATGGAGACCCACAAGTAAATTGGCTGGCTCTGACCAAGGTCTGAGAACATGCTATTACTCATGTATTTACTGACCTTTTTGCTCTGTTATATATATCATGTACTTTGTAAATGCAGCGTGGATACTTTAAAATAAGGATAAAGAAAGGTGGGTTGCCTCTTCTGCTTGGTCCACATTCTACGTTGTGTGTTTTGGAAATATAAATTAAGGAACTGGAATCACTGGTGATGAAATTACCCAATACATTCCAATAGTCAATTAAAGTGGTTTGGAAACGTTCTGCTATATATTGTCTGCATTTCTATTTTTTTTCCAGAACATAGTGATCAAGTGTTGATAAGTATTTAATCTCCTCCCATTTTATCTCACCAAATGTTTGGATTTCCTGTGAATTTGGAAACAAGTAGAGGACTAATTGTACTTAGCACTGTGCTTTTCTGTGTGTGAGTTTATTACCCTCACAATACTACGAAGCAGGCATTATTATTATTACTATTTTAAAGTGAAGAAATCTAAGCCTTGAAATTAAGCAACATTTTCACGGTCTCACAGTGATGGAGCCAACATTTGAGCTCAATTCAAAGTCCATACTCTTTACCATTAAGCCACAGTATTACTTTTCCAGGCCTAAGAAATTATTAATGATTTTTCCTATTTAATGGTAAATAGACTGAAAAATTCAATTTAAAGCAAAGCACCCAAGAGTACAAAAGGAATAATGATTTCGAAAGCTGATTCATTAGATTCAACAAAAGGAAAGAATATCATAAAAATTCAAAATTAAGTAGTGGTAGTGGCAATAGGAAAACTTTTTAAGCAACAAATTCAATTGTTCATTAAACCAAATATCCTATCTTCATTAGATGGCTTCAATGTCTTTCCTTAAGAAAATAGAGTATAGAAGTAGAAATCACTGTAATGTAGAAAAAGAAACAGGAAGATCATTCTATTTCAGAAAGCACATCCCAATGTGAAGCGGACTTCAGTGTTATAGAGCATCGATGACAGCATCATTGGAGAGCAGAGACTGAAATAAGAAATATAATATTTATGAATCAACCTTGGGGCTTAAATCACCTTGTTCTATATGACCAAAGTGTTGGGTGGGTGACACTTTCGGTTCTTGAGATTATTATTCCTTGAATTGCCAAGCTTTTTTGAGAAGTTTCAACGGGTACATCATAGGAAAGGTCTTTTGTGTCCACTGTAGATGTGCCTCAGGGGCATTTCATAACCCCAGTGGAGGAGGAGAGACAGGGCCCCATCCGAGATGGTGAGTCTGGTGATTTTAGTTTATTTTCTACTTTTATCTTGATGATTTTTTTTATGTTTTGAAAATGTACTTGTTTGCTTGCTCACATGAAATAGCTGATTAAAGGCATGTGCATATTCTCTGTGGTATTATGTTTTTAACAGTTTTTCATACACACACACACACACATACACACACACACACGCTGGGATACTGAGCAGGTGGGATCCCATAAACATACTTTGTTTGTGGTTGGCTTACAGGTATCTCCATCACTATCTATTACAGTGGCTTCATTTCCAAACTTAGGATATAATTTCTTTGATTCCTGAAGACCTTTTGGCCTCTAAAAACCCCTAATTAAAATGCAAATAACTTTTGAGAATGAGTTCTCCTGTTTCCTTTAGAGGAAAAATTTCCCAGATTCCTAGGGCTGAACTATAAACTTAATAATTTTATGTATTTACCAGTGTAAAACTAGGCATCAATTCTTCTTATTTTTTAAATACAACTGTTAATTAAAATGCATTTTTATTTTTTATTTAAAAAATTTTTTTTAATGTTTATTTATTTTTGAGACAGAGAGAGACAGAGAGAGACAGAGCATGAACGGGGGAGGGTCAGAGAGAGGGAGACACAGAATCTGAAACAGGCTCCAGTCTCTGAGCTGTCAGCACAGAGCCCGACGTGGGTCTCGAACTCACGGACCACGAAATCATGACCTGAGCTGAAGTCGGCCGCTCAACTGACTGAGCCACCCAGGCGCCCCTAAAATGCATTTTTAAATTAAATATTAAAAACCTATAAAATAATAAAAATGCAATTAATATTAATTTAATGTATCAGATTATGTTGTTTTTCTGGTATTGAATAGCCAATGTTGGATTGAATGCAAACATAATTTTTTGCCAAATCTAACTAAAGTGTTAACATATTAATGATTTCAAGCTTTTAGTTGCAAGTTAGGATACTCAGATTTAATTCCATAACTAAGCTAGTTCTGTTAGGTATGATGAACGTTGAATCATTAACATTATTTGGATATTACACCAATGCAAACAGATATTCTCTTCGGTATAATTATTTGTTAAAATATTGAAACAGATGAAATGTACACCGTGGATCTAACAGTCCCAAGGCCTTCAGAAGCATTTTTTTGAGTCTTAGTCCAGTGATGGGAGGGAATGCCATAATCTGTTTTCTGGGTTTTCACCAAAACTCCTGAGTGAAGCTCAGGTACTGATTAACCAGCTGGCCCCACTGGGATGTTTTCTTCTTTGGTCTGGAGCCCTGGATAGTATGCTGAGAAGCCCTTACTTCTCGGTGCTGAAATTAGCACTTAGAGTGTGTTTCTAAACTCTTCTGAGGAGTTCAGATTGGCCATACCTACCTAAGAGAATACTCCACACTCACCCTACAGATAACCCATTTTACCAGAGCAAGGACTTTTTTTATTTTCAACTTGTTCCAAAAAGAATTTAAGGGAGCTTAAAAACAAAGATACAAACAACACACAACAGATATAAAAAAGGGAGGAAATCCAGGGAGAGGAAAAATAAAAGTTGAAGACTATAAGGTGACCTATACCGTCACAAATGTGAGTCACATGTTTGTGAACTTTCTAGCTGCCAATGCAAAAAGGATAATTTTTCATAAGAAGTGCTCAGCTGTTATTTTTATGTAGTCATAAAACAGGATAAATTGAAATCTGCACTTAATGTATCAGTTTTTAATCTGAATTTATAGGGTTTTTTTTGTTGAATAAAAGTTGCCATCTTTGACTCCAATAACTCAGATATCTTTTATTCATTAGTCTCAAATGCTTCTAGCTTATGTCCTTTCTCCTTCTCTTTAGAAGGAATCTGAGACATTGGAGAGGCTGTATAATTCTCACAATATTCATACTATTGCCATAACTTGTGTACTACTTTATAGTTTTTGAAGATTATTCATGCACCTTGGTCCGAAACTTTTGGGACACACTATAACTAAGGAGGGATGCCCCGGACATGTGGGTGATAATCCTGTATCTGTTAGGTTCCGATGTTCTAGTTGGAGACGATAAAATAGTGCAAAACACATGCTCATAAGGCAGTATTTTCCTCATTTGCAAAATAAGAATAATGCCTTCAACTGTAGAGCCAAGGGACTGTAGATAGGATCCTATTATTTC